AAGGAATTCCTGGAATTTTGGGTGGGAATTTGGGGCTTGGAGCTCCTCCCAAGCATCCCATTATCCCTAAACACAGTGGGATTTAGGATGAGCCCAAAATTTGGGATCAAATCCCGACAAAATTCCCAAATCCAGGTGTGGGAATGATCCCTGGGAATCCCCAGCAGGATCAGAGCTGGGCTGGAATCCAGAAATTCCCAGAAAAGCCTAAAAAAAAACCATGGAATTCTTCCCAAACTCCCCGTGCTGGAGGAAATCATGGACTACACATTCCCACCGGGAATCCTGGTGGGAAAAGAGGGAAAGATTCCAAAAAAAACAATGGAAAAAATGGGAAAAGGGTTCATTCGGGAGAGAAAAATCAGGGAAAACACCAGGATTCGATTGGAATTTTCATGGAAAAAAAAAAAAAGGAATTGAAAGAATGAAATCAAGGAATGATTGGCAGGAAAAAAAACATGGAAAAAAAGCAAATTAATTCCATCCGGCCGAGAATTTTGGGAGCCAAATTCCAAGGGAAAACAGCATTTCCACTTCCACCTGCAACAGAAAAGCAGGAAAAGCCGGAATTCCCTCATTCCCGGGTGGATTTTGGTGGAAAAATGGGATTTTCCTGGATTTTATCCAACTGGAAGGAATTTTCCTGGAATTCCCATTCAGAGGAAACACCGCGGTGGCGATGCCAGGATTTTTTGGCTTTTTTTTTTGGGAATATCTGGGGAATGCCGGGAAATTCCAGAGGGGTGGAATTGAGGAAATGCTGCGGCGGGGAGAGGGAGCCTCCGGAAAACGGGATCGGAACTTACGGGAGCCAGGGATTTATCCAGGCTTTCCGTACTCGAGGAGAATTCCTGGGAAAAGCAGGAGAAGGGGGATTTGGGGAGTTTTTTGGGGGGAATTTTTTCCATAGGGAAGAGGGGAAGGAGCAGGGAAAAGGGGGAGAAAAAGCAAAGTTTAGCTCCAGGTGCACTTCCAGCAATTCCCAAGTTTTTTTTTTGGTCCCATCCTCTTGGAATTACCAGAAAAATTCCGGGAAGGAAAGTTCTACGGATCCCAAGCGGGATGGGATCAAAGCGGAGCAGATCCGAGCGCTGAATTCCCGGGATTTTCCCGGTTTTCCTCCTCTCTGGGATTCCTCACCCCAGCCCAGAAGGACCAGGATGGATCCAGCTCCAAATTCCTTGGATTTCTGACCTTTTCCATCACCAAATCCACGTTTTTTTCCTTCCCTGGGTTGCAGTTTATCCTGAATTTCAGCACATCAAACGAATCCCATGGAAACGATCCCGAAAGTTCCCAAAATCCCAATTTTTGAGGCCCTTTTTATCACGGAGAAATTCCTGATTTATCCCAAGTTTTCCTGCCACTCCCACACCTCCCTCCAAGCTCCATCCCAAATATCCCAAATTCCAGCACTTGGAGTCCACCAATTCGTGTTTTTCTTCCTAAAAGGGATCCCATTGAGCTTCATCCCATAAAAGACAGGAATTTTGAGGCTAAAATTCCCCAAAATTCCCAAAAAAGGGGGACAACCAGGTCTGGATCCCACCTGGAGGGAAAACTGATGGGAAATGATCCCAAAGTTCACCAGGGGAGGGAAATTTTGGGACGATTTTCGATCGATTTTCCCTTCCCTGGTGAATTTTGGGATCATTTCCCACCAATTTTCCCTGCTTTTTCCAAGGAATTCCTGGATTCCAGAGGGAAAAGCACCCAGCACTTCCAAGACCTCTGGGATTTTGAGGGACAGTCGGGATCCAGGGCTGGAGTCTCCCTGGTTTTGTGCTTTCCCAGCTCTTTCAGGATCGTTTCCAGGAGCCTCCTCATCCATAATTTATGGAAAAGCTCCGGTTTCCGCCTCCTCCTTTTCCATATTAAAAATTCATCCCGGCGGGAACGGCCCCGGATTTTTCCGGGGTGCTTTCATCCCGAATCCAGCCTGGAATATTCCTTCCCAATCCTTCCTTCCATCTTTATCCCAATTCCCAGAGCTTGGAACAATCCTTGGCTCCTTCCAAGGATTCCCAGTGGAATTCTCAGTGGAATCAAACCTTGGATTTCTGATCCACTTCCCAGGAATTCCTGGGAATTCCCAGTCATTCCTGACCATTCGCAGTTTCCTTAGGGTGCATTCCACCCTCTGGAGGATTTGTTTTTCCCAGATTTCGGAAGCGCCGCTTCCAGCACCAGCCTGGGGCTCCTTTCCCATCGGGAATTCCCAGCTCATCCTGGGATCAGCCTTGGAGCACAACCCCAGTCCCAGAGGAGCTCCGGGATGAATCCCAAGGCACTTCCACCTCTCTGGATCAGCTCTGGGATGAAACCCAAGGAACAACCGTGGGATTTTCCCAGCCTCCTGAGCCTTGGAGCACCACCCCAACCCCAGAGGAGCTCTGGGATGAATCCAAAGGCATTTCCACCTCTCTGCACCAGCTCTGGGATGAATCCCAAGGCAGGACTATGGGATTTTCCCAACACACCAATCCTTGGAGCTCAGTGCCAACCCCACAATGGCCTTTCCTCAGAATTCCCTCAGGAACACCCCAGGCCTTACCTCTTCCTCCTCGCTCTCCAGCTTGGGGTTGCTGGCGGAGCCCTGCAGCTCAATCCCAACCACAGAACAGCCTTTCCCACAGAATTCCCTCAGGAACACCCCAGGCCTTACCTCTTCCTCCTCGCTCTCCAGCTTGGGGTTGCTGGCGGAGCCCTGCAGCTCAATCCCAACCCCACAGAATTCCCTCGGGAACACCCCAGGCCTTACCTCCTCCTCGCTCTCCACCTTGGGGTTGCTGGCCGTGCGCTTCAGGTTGCTGCTGAGGCTGATGGACACCGTGGCGTCCGACTTGGACCTCTGGTGAGTCCGTTTGGAGGGCGAGAGGCCGGTGTCGGCGCTGGGCAGGGGGCCCAGCTCCCTCCTCCTGCCCGCCGGCTTCAGCTCGTCGGAGAGGATGAGCCTGCGGAGCTTGGTGCCGCGCGAGTGGCGCTGCGTGGAGATGTGCATGTCCGAGGAGTAGGCGCCCAGCAGCAGCGCGCACTGCAGCGAGAAGTCGATGCTCTGGCGGCAGCGGTGCACGATGTAGGGCTTGATGGCGTCGCCCACGTCCTCGTCCATGTGGATGTACATGTTGAGCAGCTGGGGCAGGTAGAAATCCACCTCCTCGTTGCGGAAGCAGAACAGGCGGTTCCCGATGTAGGCCTGCACGCCGGGCTCCTTGGAGTTGTACAGGTAGGAGATGGCCATGGAGATGTCGAAGAGCTTGGACTCGAAGAGGCGCAGCAACCACGACTGCTTGGCCTGGTTCTGGCGCTTCCGCGCCGTCCTGGCCGCGCCGGAGCCTTCCTCCTCCTCCTCCTGGATGCGCGAGCCGGGCGGATCGTCCAGGCAGCGGATGGGGCAGCTCTCCCCGTTGGGAAGCGCCTCGGCAGCGGAGCCGTGCAGCTGCTTGACCTTCTCCAGCACCTCCTCGCAGGCCCTCTTGGCCACCTCGGGGTCGATGAGGGCCAGCTCGCCCACGCCCTCGGTGATGACGCTGAGCGAGGAGCCGCCCCCGCCCTGGGCAGCGCCCGGCTCCGCGGGGCTCTTCCCGAGCGCGGAGTCGCCCATGCTGAGGAGGGGCTCAGAGCTGGCAAACGGGAGAGACCGGCATCAGGGAGGGGGCTTGGGAGGGCATCCCAGAGCAGGGGCGGCGGGGGGGCTGCAGGGCCCAGGGAGGGGGAAAACGGGGAGAAACCGGGATGAAATCGGGAAAAAATCGGGATGAAATCGGGAAAAAATCGGGATTAAATCGGGAAAAAATCTGGATTAAATAGGGAAAAAATTTGGATTAAATCGGGAATAAATCAGGATTAAATCGGGATTAAATCGGGAAAAAATCGGAAAAAAAATCAGGATTAAATCGGGATTAAATCGGGAAAAAATCGGGATTAAATCGGGATTAAATCGGGATTAAATCGGGAAAAAAATCGGGATTAAATCGGGAAAAATTGGGATTAGGGATGGGATTTGGGAGGGAATTCAAGAGCAGGAGCAGTAGAGGGGCTGCAGGACTCAATGATGGGGGAAAATGGGAAAAAATTGGGATTAGGGATGGGATTCAAGGGGAGAAACCTGGGATACACCTGATGGGAAGACGGACGTTAATTTTTTTCCCTGTCAACTCAAGGATTTTTCCCTGTTAATTTCAGATTTTTCCTTGTTAATTTAAGGAGTTGCTTTATCCCTTTATTTTTCCACCTCCCAAAGAAAGGAGGAAAAAAGCCCCCAGGAATTCTCCCTAAATATTCCAAGTGAGTCAAACCTAGGTCACCTCCCAGATGCCACTTCTCCTTTTTTTTCCCCTCTTCTTTTCCTCTTTTTTTCCCCACTTCTTCTCCAAGAAATCCCAGATGCCCAAATCCTGATCAAAGTCTGAGAGTTTGGCTCCGTTCCCCCATTCCCAGCACTCCAAATCCCACATTCCTGACATTTTTGTGGCTCTTAGATCCCAAAAACCCCATCAGAGCCTGAAAAAAAATCCCTGATGCTCCCAATTCTCAACAAATCCCAAAAAAACGGGGGTGGAAATTCGGGATTCCACACTTCCCCACAATTCCCATCCCTGTTTTTTTCACACATCCTAGATTTTGCTATTCTATCCCAATCCCAAATCCTTACATGGCTCCAACCCAAAAATCCCAGGGATCCCCTCCCTTCCCAAAGCGTTCGGCTCATCCCAAAAAAACACATCCAAAGCTTTTGCTCTTCCCAGAAACGCCACAGGATTCCAGAGCCTGGAGCAATCCCACAGTGCTGGAACTCCCTCCTCCCATGGATCCCATCCCGTACACAAATTCCCACCTTTTGTGGTTTTCCAAGTTTTTGTTTTTCCCAAAGGGTGGGAAATAAACCGAGAAAAGGCAGGGGGAAAAAAAGCAGGAAAAAAAAAAAAAAAATCAGGAATCCACCCGGATCCCAAGGGCAGCTCCTGGGCTGATTCAAGCACGGACCCTGAACTGTGGGATCATAAATTATCCAGGAAATCTGGAGCAGGGATCACCCAGGAATTCCAGGAGTAGAAATCACCCAGGAATTCCAGGAGCACAGCCATGAAATCCCATTCAGAATTCCAAGGAAGAAATCAGGGACTGTTTCCAGCAGATCCACGGGATCCACGCCAGGAACAACTCCAAAACCTCAGAAACTCTTCCAGCACCGGGAAAAAAAAAGCTGGAAAATCCCCTTTTCCACCCAGTTATTCCTTCCCGGACTCCAGGGAAGCGGAGGGTATAAAAAGGGAGGGGTTAAACGTAATTATTTCTCATTATTCAACTTCCCACCAACTCCAGCCGAAGTTTTCCAGGGACAACATTCCCGAGAGGATGAGTGCCCCCCGCCAATCCAAATTTTACGTAATCCATGTAATTTTAGAGGGGATTTTGGGCAATTCCAAAGCTCCCAGAGGCACCAGATGGGCCCGGGAGGGAGGAGGGGGGGAAGGGTTGGCAAATCCTGCTGAGGAAAAGCGGCTGGAAAAGGCTCTGGAAGGGGAATTGCGCCACTTCCCCCGCGGGGAGCGGGGCTCGGGCAGCAATTCCCTGCAAAAGGAAGAGGAAAAGGGTTTGGGAGAGGTACCTGGAGCGATCCCATCCCGCGAGGCTCCGCTCGGCGAGCCCGGCCCTGCGGCCGGCGCGGGCGGCTCATCCCGGGCACCGGCGGCTGCTGCGGGGAGAGGCGGAAAAACAGCCGGGAATCAGCAGCAAACCCACGAAAAGGCCATTTCCTGCCCGCTCCTGCGCCACGGAGCTGAACGAGGCCGAGGAGGCGGAGGAGGAGGAGGAGGAGGAGGAGGAGGAGGAGGCGAGGCCGGACGCGGAGCGGCCGCGGAACCGCCGGGGGCACCGGGCGGAGCGGGTGGAGGAGGCCGCGGGGGAAGCGGCGGCGGTGCGGCGGGGCCGGGCTCACCTCGGGGGAGCGGGGAGGAGCGGGGCCGCGGGGAGAGGAGCGGAGGGGCGGGCAGGGGCCGGCGGAGCGCGGCCGCTCGGAGCTCCCCAGGCCCGGCCCGGCGCCGCCTCACGGGGCTGAGGGGGCGCCGCGCCACAGCGCCGCCTGCCGGCCCGGAGGCGCGGGGAAAGGGGCGGGGTCTGTTACCGGGGGTGTTTGGGGGCGTGGTCTGTGTACTTATATGGCCATGTGGGCGTGGTTCGAATACTAATGTGGACGTGGGACGCGGTCTGCGTGCGGAGTGGAGGCGTGGCTTGCAGCGCCAAGGGGCGTGGTCGATTAATCGGATGCGGAAGAGGGCGTGGTTCGTGTGCATATATGGTCTGAAAGGCGTGGTCTCATGTTGTTTGGGGGCGTGGCCCCGGTACGGAACAAGCCCAAGGCGCCCCGCGGGTTCCGCGTTGACGAAAATCCGCGATTTTGGGGGAAAATCGTCTCGGATGTCGCTGTCACCACCTGGGGGGGGTGGGATGCCACCCCCCTTGTCAGTGTCCCCTCCCAGTGCCAGTGTCCCCCCCTAGTGCCAATGTCCCCTTCCCAGTGCCAATGTCCCCTCCTCACTCCCCATCTCCCCTCCCAGTGCCAACGTCCCCTCCCAGTGCCAATGTCCCCTCCCCACTCCCAGTGTCCCCTTCCAGTGCCAATGTCCCCTTCCCAGTGCCCGTGTCCCCTCCCAGTGCCAATGTCCCCTCCCAGTGCCCGGGCTCACAGACACACTGCGGTGACTGGTTTTTACTGGTTTTTACTGGTGTGACGCAGGGGACCCCCTCCCTGTGCCCGCCCTCGTGTGTCCCTCGCGGTGTCCGGAGCAGGACTGTCCCCGCGTGTCCCCCAGGGGGGACCCGGCCCGGCTGTGTCCCCGCTGTGCCACGGCCTCCGGTGCCACCCTGGTGCCCGTCCTGCCATCCCTGATGACGCTGACGCGGACGGGAGTGACGGGCCTGTCCCCGAGGGCGCCACTGCCACTGCCACTGCCAGGCCTGTCCCCGAGGGTGCCACCACTGCCCCTGGACGGGCAGTCCCTGACAGGGATGGTGGCACTGCCACTGACTGGTGTGTCCATGATGGGGGGACTGCCAGTGACGTGCCTGTCCCCAGGGGTGGCACTGTCCCTGGACGGGCACTCCCTGACAGGGATGGTGGCACTGCCACCAGCTGGGCTGTCCCCAGCAGGGATGGTGGCACTGTCCCTGGATGGGCCCTCTCTGATGGGGACGGTGGCACCGTCCCTGCCTGGCCAGTCCCCGTCAGGAACAGTGGCACTGTCCCCAGTCGGGCACTCCCTGACAGGGACGGTGGCACTGCCATAGGCCAGCGTGTCCCCAGGGGGGAGGGTGGCAGGGCCGGGCACCCTGGACTCCACGATGGTGGCAGTGACCCTGGGGATGGAGTCCCCCACGAGGACGGTGGCACTGACGAAGACGGGCGTGTCCACGATGGTGGCCGTGCCCCTGGACAGGCTGGCCCTGACGGGCACGGTGACACTGCCCAGGATCCTCCTGTCCATCACAGTGCCACTGAGAGTGACCAGCGCGTCCACGATGGTGGCAGTGCCCCTGGACGGGCAGTCCCTGCTGGGGACGGTGGCAGTGCTGTCCCCAGCAGCGCCCCTGGCCCAGAATGGGCTGTCACTGACAGGGAGGGTGGCACTGCCGGTGACAGGCGTGTCCACGATGGTGGCAGTGCTCCTGGATAGGCTGTCCCTGACCGGGACAGTGGCACTGCCGGAGACTGGCCTGTCCCCAGGAGTGCCACTGTCCCTGGAGGGACAGTCCCTGCCAGGAAGGGTGCCACTGTCAGTGACCAGCCTGTCCCCAACGGTGCCACTGCCACTGACCAGCCTGTCCCTGATGGTGCCACTGTCAGTGACCAGCGTGTCCCCAACGATGCCACTGCCACTGACCAGCCTGTCCCCAACGATGCCACTACCACTGACCAGCCTGTCCCTGATGGTGCCACTGTCAGTGACCAGCCTGTCCCCAACGGTGCCACTGCCACTGACCAGCCTGTCCCCAACAGTGCCACTGTCAGTGACCAGCCTGTCCCCAACAGGGACAGTGGCAGTGCCAGTGGCCAGGCTGTCCTCAATGGGGACAGTGGCAGTGCCCCTGGATGAGCTGTCCCTGATGGGGACAGTGGCAGTGCCAGAGACTGGCACGTCCCTGACCGTGCCACTGCTGCCAGCTGGGCTGTGTCTGGCAGGGACAGTGGCACTGCTCCTGCCCGGCCTGTCCCCAGTGCCACTGGCCCTGGGTGACCTGTCCCTGATGGGGACAGTGCCACTGCCAGTGACCAGCCTGTCCCCAGTGGTGGCACTGCCCCTGCCCGGCCTGTCCCCACTGCCACTGTCTCTGAGTGACCTGTCCCTGATGGGAACGGTGGCACTGCCCTTGCCCAGCCTGTCCCCGCTGCCACTGGCTCTGGGTGACCTGTCCCTGATGGGGACACTGATGGGGACACCGTCCCTGATGGGGACACTGCCACTGCCCCTGCTTAGTCTGTCCCCAGCAGTGGCACTGCTCCTGCCCAGCCTGTCCCCAGGGGTGGCACTGCTCCTCACTGCCCTGTCCCCAGCAGTGGCCCTGGGTGAGCTGTCCCTGACAGCGATGGTGGCACTGCCAGGCACCGGCTTGTCCCTGGCAGAGACGGTGGCACTGCTCCTGCCCGGCCTGTCCCCAGGGGTTGTACTGTTCCTGCCCAGCCTGTCCCCAGGGGTGGCACTGCCCCTGGCTGCGCTGTCCCTGCCAAGGATGATGGCATTGCCACTGACTGGCCTGTCCCTAATGTCACTGGCCCTGGATGAGCTGTCCTTAACAGGGATGGTGGCACTGCCAGAGACTGACCTGTCCCCCGTTGTGGCACTGCCAGAGGTTGACCTGTCCCCCGTGGTGGCACTGGCTCTAGCTGACCTGTCCTTAACAGGGACAGTGGCACTGCCACTGTTGGAGCTGTCCCTGATGGGGACAGTGGCACTGCCCCTGCCTGGCCTCTCCCCAGTGCCACTGTCTCTGGGTGACCTGTCCCTGACAGGGACGGTGGCATTGCTCCTGCCTGGCCTGTCCCCAGTGGTGGCACTGCCCCTGCCCAGCCTGTCCCCACTGCCACTGGACCTGGGTGACCTGTCCCTGATGGGGACACTGCCACTGCCCCTGGAGGAGCTGTCCCTGACAGGGATGGTGGCACTGCCAGTCACCTGTCTGTCCCCAGGGCCACTGCCCCTGGGAGAGCTGTCCCTCCTAGGGACAGTGGCACTGCTAGAGACTGGCTTGTCCCTCATAGGGATGGTGGCACTGCCAGTGACAGGCTTGTCCCCAGTGGCACTGGCTCTGGGTGAGCTGTCCTTGACAGGGACAGTGCCACTGCCACCAGCTGGGCGGTCCCTGGCAGGGACAGTGGCACTCCTGGTGACCGGCCTGTCCCCAGTGCCACTGACCCTGGGCGAGCTGTCCTGCCTGGAGACAGTGGCACTGCCCCGGGATGAGCTGTCCCTGACAGGGATGGTGGCACTGCCAGTGACAGGCTTGTCCCCAGTGGCACTGGCTCTGGGTGAGCTGTCCTTGACAGGGACAGTGCCACTGCCACCAGCTGGGCTGTCCCTGCTGGTAACAGTGGCACTCCTGGTGACCGGCTTGTCCCCAACAGTGCCACTGCCCTGGGATGAGCTGTCCCTGACAGGGACAGTGGCACTGCCACTGACTGGCCTGTCCCCAGTGGTGGCACTGCCCCTGGATGGACTGGCCTTGACAGGGACAGTGCCACTGCCACCAGCTGGGCGGTCCCTGGCAGGGACAGTGGCACTCCTGGTGACCGGCCTGTCCCCAGTGCCACTGGCCCTGTGCGAGCTGTCCTGCCCGGGGACAGTGGCACTGCCCCAGGATGAGCTGTCCCTGACAGGGATGGTGGCACTGCCAGTGACAGGCTTGTCCTTGACAGGGATGGTGGCACTGGCCCTTGATGAGCTGGCCTTGACAGGGACAGGGACAGTGCCACTGCCACCAGCTGGGCTGTCCCTGATGGGAATGGTGGCACTCCTGGTGACCGGCTTGTCCCCAACAGTGCCACTGGCCTGGCATGTACCATCCTTGACAGGGACAGTGGCACTGCCACCAGCCAGGCTGTCCCCACTGGTGGCACTGCCCCTGACTGGCCTGTCCTTGACAGGGACAGTGGCACTCCTAGTAACTGGCCTGTCCCCAGTGCCACTGGACCTGGAGGGGCTGTCCTTCCTGGGGACACTGCCACTGCCCCGGGATGAGCTGTCCCTGACAGGGATGGTGGCACTGCCAGTCACCTGTTTGTCCCCAGGGCCACTACCCCTGGGAGAGCTGTCCCTCCTAGGGACAGTGCCACTGCTAGAGACTGGCTTGTCCCTCATAGGGATGGTGGCACTGCCACTGACTGGCCTGTCCCCAGTGGTGGCACTGCCCCTGGATGGACTGGCCTTGACAGGGACAGTGCCACTGCCACCAGCTGGGCTGTCCCTGCTGGGAATGGTGGCACTCCTGGTGACTGGCCTGTCCCACACAGTGTCACTGACCCTGGAGGGGCTGTCCCTGACAGGGATGGTGGCACTGCCAGCGACCCGCCTGTCCCCAGTGGTGGCACTGTCCCTGGATGGACTGGCCTTGACAGGGACAGTGCCACTGCCACCAGCTGGGCTGTCCCTGCTGGTAACAGTGGCACTCCTGGTGACCGGCCTGTCCCCAACAGTGCCACTGACCCTGGATAAGCTGTCCCTGACAGGGATGGTGGCACTGCCAGCGACCCGCCTGTCCCCAGTGGTGGCAGTGCCAGTGACCGGCCTGTCCCCAGTGTCACTGGCCATGGGTGAGCTGTCCCTGACAGGGATGGTGGCACTGCCAGCGACCCGCCTGTCCCCAGTGGTGGCAGTGCCAGTGACCGGCCTGTCCCCAGTGTCACTGGCCATGGGTGAGCTGTCCCTGACAGGGATGGTGGCACTGCCAGCGACCCGCCTGTCCCCAGTGGTGGCAGTGCCAGTGACCGGCCTGTCCCCAGTGTCACTGGCCATGGGTGAGCTGTCCCTGACAGGGATGGTGGCACTGCCAGCGACCCGCCTGTCCCCAGTGGTGGCAGTGCCAGTGACCGGCCTGTCCCCAGTGTCACTGGCCATGGGTGAGCTGTCCCTGACAGGGATGTTGACACTACCCCGGCATGGGCTGTCCCCAGTGGTGGCACTGCCCCTGGCCAGACTGTCCTTGACTGCTGCAGTGGCACTGCCACCAGCTGGGCTGTCCCTGACAGGGACAGTGGCACTTCCAGCGACTGGCCTGTCCCCAGTGTCACTGTCCCTGGCTGGGCTGTCCCCAGTGTCACTGACCCTGGAGGGGCTGTCCCTGACAGGGATGGTGGCACTGCCAGCGACTGGCCTGTCCCCAGTGTCACTGTCCCTGGCTGGGCTGTCCCCAGTGTCACTGACCCTGGCTGGGCTGTCCCTGACAGTGACAGTGGCACTGCCAGCGACTGGCCTGTCCCCAGTGTCACTGTCCCTGGCTGGGCTGTCCCCAGTGTCACTGACCCTGGCTGGGCTGTCCCTGACAGGGACAATGTCACTGCCACCACCAGGAGAGCCACCACTGGGGAAACTGGCACTGCCACCGACTGAGCTGTCCCTAGGGGGGACAGTGGCACTGCCCCCAGCCGGGCTGTCCCCAAGGGGGGTGGTGGCACTGCCATTGACTGGGCTGTCCCCAAGGGGGGTAGTGGCACTGACACTGACTGGGCTGTCCCCAAGGGGAACAGTGGCACTGCCCCCAGCTGAGCTGTCCCCAAGGAGGGTGGTGGCACTGCCATTGACTGAGCTGTCACTAATGGGGACAGTGGCACTGCCAGCAGAGCCACCACCAGGGACGCTGTCATTGACTGAGCTGTCCCCAAGGGGGGTGGTGGCACTGCCACTGACCGGGCTGTCCCCCCCAGCCACCGTGTCACTGTCCACCTCCATGCTGTCCCCACCACCCTCAGCAGCATCGACGCCCCTGTCCCCCGCGGGCACGGTGGCACTGCCACCCCCGGGTGACGCCCCTGGGGGCGAATCCCCGCCCTCATCCCCCTTGGGGACCTCCCCGTCCTCGACCGACCCCGCGGCGTCCCCCGGCCTCTTGCGGGGCCTCCCGCGCCTCCTCTTGTGCGCGGCGCCGTCCCCTCCTCCCTCCAGGGCACGCTTGGTGCCCTTGCCGCGCTGTCCCTCGCCCTCCCCTCCCGCGCGGGCGCCGCCGCCGGGGGTCTCTGCCGCGGGGACCCCCAGGCCGGGCAGCAGCACGTTGAGCACGGGGATGGCGGCGCCGCCCGGGGCCAGCGCGGCGCCCACGGGCAGCGGCAGCGCCACCTTGACGGTGCCGCCGAGGCGCGGCNNCAGCAGCGGCGGCAGCCGCGCCACCAGCGCGTTCACCTGCGGGCTGGGGCCCGCCCGAGCCGCCTCCGGGGGCTTCTTCTTGTCCGGCCGCGGCGGCGCGGGGACCCGGGCCACGGCGTCCTTCTTGGCCTGCGGCGAGGCGGGGAGGTGGCACCGGGCCGGGGTCGCCGCTGGGCGCCCGCCGGGCTCGGGACAGGGGCCGGGGGGTCTCACCTGCTCCTGGCTGCCCTCCGAGGGGTCCGCGACGTTCTTTTTGGGGGCGGCGGGGGGACGAGGGTCCTGGGGGGGCTTGTCCGTGTTTTCTGTGGGAGGAGGGGACGTGACCGCGGTGGCAGGGGAGGGTGGCACTGGGGAGGGGACACTGGGAGGGGGACACTGGGAGTGGTGAGGGGACACTGGGAGTGGGGAAGGGACACTGGGAGTGAGTAGGGGACACTGGGAATGGGGAGTGTGACACTGGAAATGAGTAGGGGACACTGGGAGTGGGGAGGGGACACGGCACAGTGGAAGGGGACACTGACAAGGACGGGACCAGCCCATCTCCCCCCCCGGGTGGGCACCCGCGGGGTGTGACGGTCCCCGGTGTCCCTAGGGCTGACCTGAGAGCACCATGGCCATGAGCAGGTCGGCGTGGGCGGAGCGGGGGCTGATGATGTGCTGCTGCAGCAGGAACTGCGCCACCTCCACGATGTTGTTGAAGGAGCGGCGCAGGATCTTCTCGGCCCAGTCGCACGTCAGGGCACACGCGGCCTCGGTCACCTCGCTGCTGTAGGACTGCGCCAGCTCGGCCAGCTCCGCCTGCTGGGGACACCGGGACATCAGACAGGGACAGCGGGCTGGGGACACCCTCACCACTGTGTCACCACTGTGTCACCACTGTGTCACCACTGTGTCACCCCCTACACCGCGGCTGTAGGGCTCTGACTGCTGGGGACAGGGACAGGGACAGTGTGTGACACCCGGGGCAGGAGGACAGCAGGGAGGGGACAGCAGGAGTGTCATGGAGCAGGGCAGGAGACAGGGATGATCCCACGGAGCAGGATGGGACACCGGGATGGGGACAGGAGGGGATTAATGGAGCAAAGCAGGACCTGCATCCCGTCATCCCATCCCATCCCATCCCATCCCATCCCATCCCATCCCATCCCATCATCCCATCCCACCCCACCCGGAGCACTCACGGTCTCGGTCACTTTGAGATCCAGGCTGGGCAGGGGAGGAAGGCTGACCACGGTCTTCCTCCTGATCCCGCCGTAGCAGTACGTTGGGAAGAGTCAAGGACTTTTCCCGAGCCCAAAAATCCAGGAACCAACCCCTGAAGAACCCTCAGGAATGGGGAAAAACTGAGGAAAACTGGGAAAACCAGGGAAAAGAATGGGAAAAAATGGGAAAAAACAGGAAAAAAACAGGAAAAAAAATGGGGAAAAAACGTGAAGAAACAAGAAAAAAAAAAGGAAAAGACGGGGAAAAGAGCAGCTGGCACCACAACTGCAGCCCGGGGAAGGATATTTGGATTGGCCACGGCCCCCCAGGCGCCGGGCTTTGATGTTGGGGAAGATCTCGCGGATGATCTTGCCAAAGTTGGCCGTGCTCAGCGGGCGGCAGCCCAGGTTGTCACAGTAGCGCCTGCGGGGATGAGCGGGCGTCACACGGGGCAAATCCCGGGACAGGGAATGCCAGGGAGTGCCAGGGAATGCCAGGGAATGCCAGGAACTGCCAGGGAATGCCAGGGAGTGCCAGGGAGTGCCAGGGAATGCCAGGGAGTGCCAGGGAATGCCAGGGAATGCCAGGGAATGCCAAGGACTGACAGGGACTGCCAGGGCCGGGGACATGGGGATGTGGGGCACTAGGACAGGGAGTTCCCAGGGAGGTGGGGACATGGGGACATGGGACACCAGGACATGGAGTCCCCAAGGACATAGGGACATGAGGACAGGGGGTCCCCAGGGAGGTGGGGACATGGAGAAATGGGACAGCAAGACATGGGGACATGAGACAGCAGGACAGGGGAACATGGGCACATGGGGTACCAGGACATGGGGACAGGGGACAGAAAGACAGGGGGTTCCCAAGGAGGTGGGGACATGGGGACAAGGGACAGCAGGACAGGGGATCCTCAAGGACACAGGAACATGGTTCATGAAGACAGGGTGTCCCCAGGGAGGTGGGGACATGGGACACCAGGACTGAGGGGTCCTTGGGGACATGGTGACATGGGACGTGGGACCGCCCGGCTCACTTGTAGGCGTCGTAGACGTCCTGCTTGGGCAGGCAGGTGTCCGTGTGCTCCTCCAGGTGGTTGCGGATCCAGCTGCAGGCGTGCATGTGCTCGGCCGTGCCCAGCGCGCTCAGCTCCAGCGAGGAGCTGCTGCTGCTCCGGGGATCCCACATTCCACAGGGAGGGCACAGCCAGGGGAGAGGCCGTCAGCGCCTCTGTGCCAGCTCCAGCCTGGCAGATCCGCCCTGCAGCGTCCCTGGCCCAGCTCCAGCCCTGTCCTGTCCCATCCCATCCCATCCCATCGGATGGATCAGAATGGATCCCACCACACCAGGGAGGTGCTGGGCTGGCCTGGCACCTGGAACGGGCCCCCCTGCCCTGCTGGTGTTCTCTGTGTCCCCTGTGCTCCCTGCAGCCCCAGGGTGCCGAATTCCCCACCCGGGAGCCCCTCTGAGGCAGGAATTCCCGGCAGGAATTCCGGCGCTGCCCTTACGAGATGCTGCCCCGGAGCTCCTGCAGCAGCGTGCTGGACTCGCTGGCACCGCCCTGGGCACTGCCAGGGGACAGCGTGCCCTTCCTGGCAGCTCTGCTCCCCAGCTCCTCCTCAGCCATGGCAGCCGCGTCCCGCTGGAACAGGGAAATGGGAATTGGTGTAAAAACAGCAATAAATCCCATCGGGGATTCTGGTGGGACTTGTGGGCACGGACATGAGCACGGGTGGGGGGACAGGGACACCTGCAGTGACCCCCGCAGGGCTGGGGGCTGGGGACACCAGGACAGGGACAGGGGGACACGGGGACACCAAGACAGGGACAGAGTGACACGGGGACACCACCACATGGACAGGGGAACACCAGGACAGGGGATCCCAGGGACACCAGGACAGGGACAGAGTGACACGGGGACACCACCACAGGGACAGGGGAACACCAGGACAGGGGATCCCAGGGACACCAGGACAGGGACAGAGTGACACGGGGACACCACGACAGGGACAGGGGGACACCAGGACAGGGGATCCCAGGGACACCAGGACAGGGACAGAGTGACACGGGGACACCACGACAGGGACAGGGGGACACCAGGACAGGGGATCCCAGGGACACCAGGACAGGGACAGAGTGACACGGGGACACCACGACAGGGACAGGGGGACACCAGGACAGGGGATCCCAGGGACACCAGGACAGGGACAGAGTGACACGGGGACACCACGACAGGGACAGGGGGACACCAGGACAGGGGATCCCAGGGACACCAGGACAGGGACAGAGTGACACGGGGACACCACGACAGGGACAGGGGGACACCAGGACAGGGGATCCCAGGGACACCAGGACAGGGACAGAGTGACACGGGGACACCACGACAGGGACAGGGGGACACCAGGACAGGGGATCCCAGGGACACCAGGACAGGGACAGAGTGACACGGGGACACCACGACAGGGACAGGGGGACACCAGGACAGGGGATCCCAGGGACACCAGGACAGGGACAGAGTGACACGGGGACACCACGACAGGGACAGGGGGACACCAGGACAGGGGATCCCAGGGACACCAGGACAGGGACAGAGTGACACGGGGACACCACGACAGGGACAGGGGGACACCAGGACAGGGGATCCCAGGGACACCAGGACAGGGACAGAGTGACACGGGGACACCACGACAGGGACAGGGGGACACCAGGACAGGGGATCCCAGGGACACCAGGACAGGGACAGAGTGACACGGGGACAGATCCAGGATAGATCAGGATGGATCCAGGATGGGTCAGGATGGATCAGGATGGGTCAGGATAGATCAGGATGGATCCAGGATGGGTCAGGATGGATCAGGATGGGTCAGGATAGATCAGGATGGATCCAGGATGGATCCAGGATAGATCAGGATGGATCCAGGATGAATCAGGATGGGTCAGGATGGATCAGAATGGATCCCACCACACCAGGGAGGTGCTGGGCTGGCCTGGCACCTGGAACGGGCCCCCCTGCCCTGCTGGTGTTCTCTGTGTCCCCTGTGCTCCCTGCAGCCCCAGGGTGCCGAATTCCCCACCCGGGAGCCCCTCTGAGGCAGGAATTCCCGGCAGGAATTCCGGCGCTGCCCTTACGAGATGCTGCCCCGGAGCTCCTGCAGCAGCGTGCTGGACTCGCTGGCACCGCCCTGGGCACTGCCAGGGGACAGCGTGCCCTTCCTGGCAGCTCTGCTCCCCAGCTCCTCCTCAGCCATGGCAGCCGCGTCCCGCTGGAACAGGGAAATGGGAATTGGTGTAAAAACAGCAATAAATCCCATCGGGGATTCTGGTGGGACTTGTGGGCACGGACATGAGCACGGGTGGGGGGACAGGGACACCTGCAGTGACCCCCGCAGGGCTGGGGGCTGGGGACACCAGGACAGGGACAGGGGGACACACCAGGACAGGGGATTCCAGGGACACCAGGACAGGGACAGGGGGACACGGGGACACCACGACAGGGACAGGAGGACATGGGGACAGGAGGACAGGGGATCCCAGGGACAGGGGGACACCGGGAACAGACCCAGGAACACCAGGACAGGGGATCCCAGGGACACCAAGACAGGGACAGGGGGACACGGGGACACCACGACAGGGACAGGAGGACATGGGGACAGGAGGACAGGGGATCCCAGGGACAGGGGGACACCGGGAACAGACCCACAGGGGGACACCGGGATGAGACTCCCAGGGACATGGGCCCACGAGGCCACCGGAAACGACCCCCGGCGCCACGAGGCCACCGGAAGCGCCCCCCGGGACCGCCGCCGCGCTCCGCGCCCTCCCCGCGGCCCGGGGCGCTCCCGGCGGCCCCGGCCCAGCGCGACCCCCGCGCTCCGGACCCGGGCGGCTCCGGAACCGGGACCGGGACCCCCTCCCGCGGCCGAGCCCGGGCTGTCCCCGGGTGTCCCCGGGCCCGTCCCCCCCTCCCCGTCAGCCCCGCACCCACCTGGTCCCGTCCCGCTCGGGGGGCCCCGGGAGGGGGGGGAGGGGAGGGGTCCCGCCACGTGCCCCGCGCCCCCCGCGCGAACCGAAAGTAGACGCGCCCCTCGCTCGCCGCGCGCGGCCCCTTCTTTTTTCTGATTGGCTGCGGCGCCGCTGGTCTGCCCGGATACGGCAGCGCCCGCGGCTGTGATTGGCTGAGCCCGCGCCCCCCCCCGGCTGGGGGTGAGCGCCCGGATGTGGCGGGGCGGGAGGGGCCGAAATCTGCCTGGCAACAGCGACCTGATTGGTCGGGGCGGGCGGCGCGAGGGGAGACGGGTGTGCGGTGAGTGTGCAAACGGGTCACGTGGGGCGGGCACGCGTGCGGGGGTTGTGCAACGGGCACGTGTCACGTGCGCGCGTCGCGTGCGAGGGTGCGACGGGCGGGGGGGGTGAGTGTGCAAGGGAGGGTCACGTGGGGAGGTCACGTGTGCCAGGAGTGTGCAAGGCGCGTGCAAGGAGAGCTCCGGAGCTGGGAAAGGGAAATGAAGGATTTTCTGTGGATTTATGTCAGCCCGCGGGTCACGCGCATCCCGGAATTCCCGAGTCCCGGAATTCCCAGAATTCCCAAATTCACAAAGTCCAGACTCTTGGAATTCCCAAATTCCCGAATCCCGGAATTCCCAATTTCCCCAATCCCAGACTTCCCGAATTCCCAAATTCCAGACTTTCGGAATTCCCACATTCCCAAATTTCCAAATCTCAAACTCCGAATTCCCGAATTCCCTACTCTTGGAATTCCCAAATTCCGAACTCCCAGAATTCCCAAATCCCGGAATTCCCAACTCCCAAATTCCGACTCCCGGGTTTCCCCGGGGATCACAGCCAGGTGCAGTCCCCGCATTCCCAAATTTCTGCGGGGGGGGGGAATTGGGAATCAGATTTAAAAACCCCAATTTTAATCAATTTTAAAATATAAATTCCCATTCCCATTGGACCCCACCGCGTGGGAATTCCAAGGAAAAGGGTTTGGAACAGCTGCAAAAAAATGGGGAGATTTGGATGGTTCAGATTCCATGGAGGAATTCCAGCCGCTCCCTGAGGGGAAGGATTTGTTCCCCGTGGATTTTCCCGGGGTTTGATCCCAGGATTTGCTCTTGGCTTTTCCTGCTTCTTTTTTTTTTTTTTTTTTTTTTTTTTTTGGATTTCTCAGCTTTGGTTTGGGGTCGTTATTCCTCAAAAATGCCCTTTTTCCACCCGAAAATTCCAATTTCTGGCAATAACCAGTTGGGAACTTTCCGGGGAAAAGGCCAAAGGATCCTTTTTATCGGGTTTGGGAAAAAAAAAAAAACAAAAAAAAAAAAAAAAAAACCAGGGGTACGAGAGGAGGATCCTAAAACCCCAAAACCCCAAAATCCCCGGGGCGTGGGAGACGTGCAGGGAAGAGGCTCTGGAGCTTCCCGACCTTTCCAGGGATTCCTTTGGAATGGGGGAGGGAAAATCCCATATTCCCGAGGAATTTTGGGGAAGGGAAATCCCACATTCCCGGGGATTTCTGGGGAAGGGAAATCCCACATTCCCGAGGAATTTTGGGGAAGGGAAATCCCACATTCCCGGGGATTTCTGGGGAAGGGAAATCCCACATTCCCGAGGAATTTTGGGGAGGTTGCAGATTTTAATCGGGAAGGGGAGAACTGGAAAAGTGGGGTTTTAATTGCAGGGGCAGAGGCTGAGTCAGAGCCGGCTCTGGCTTGGGAACGCCGAGTTTGGGATGCTGGGATTGTGGGATTTTGGGATTTGGGGATTTTTGGGATCTCAAGGCTCACCTCGTCCCACCCCCCCGGGCAGCTCCCGCTGGCCCCGGCGGCTCCAAGAGCTGCCCAGGCTGGGCTGGGCATTCCAGGGATGGGAATCCATGGAAAAAACCGGGGCCAGGGGAGGATTTATCCCAAATATCCACCTGGATCCCACTTTATTTCTGGGCAAAACCTTCTCCAGGAGCCCCCAGAGGTAACATAGGGGGAAAATGGAAGGGGAAAAAGGATAAAACATTGATGAAAAAAGGGGATAAAATCCCCAGCTGGAAGCGAAGCCCCGGGAAAAGAGGCAGCGCCGGGAATTCCTCCAGACCCTTCCCGCAGTCCCCGCGCCGCCCGTGCCCGGCCCGGCATCGTCCCGGCCCCGCCGCCGCCCTCGGCCCCCGGGGTTTGTTTGTCCCGGGTTTTTTCCGGGAATGAGCCTCGGGAAGCTGCGGCTGATGCAGGAAACAACTTTATTGATGGCAGGGAAAGCAGAGCCGGGCAGGGACAGGGACAGGACAGGGATGGCCGGGAATGGCCCGGGGGATGCCGAACCCTGAAATCACCCGAGGGGACCCCAAAGCAGGAATCCCCCATGGGATCCTAAAGCCCAGAATCACCCGGGGCACCCCAAAGCCCCGATCCCATCACCCGGGGCACCCCACAGCCCCGATCCCCCAAAACCCATCACCCAGGGCACCCCACAGCCGCGGTCCCCCCAAAACCCATCACCCAGGGCACCCCACAGCCGCGGTCCCCCCAAAACCCATCACCCAGGGCACCCCACAGCCGCGGTCCCCCGGGACCCCCGGTCCCGCGGCGCTGCCGGGCTGGCTCAGGGCAGGGTCACGGATTTGGCGTCGCCGCCGGGGAAGCGAATCTCGTGCGCCAGGCACGGCCCGTTGGGCTCCTTGCCGAAATCCACCAGGAAGTTCTTGTTCACGGCCAGGCCGCCCTTGTCCGTGTCCACGTCGAGCTGCAGCATCACCGAGCCCACATTCCCGAGGAATTTTGGGGAAGGGAAATCCCACATTCCCGGGGATTTCTGGGGAAGGGAAATCCCACATTCCCGAGGAATTTTGGGGAAGAGAAATCCTAAATTCCCAGGGATTTCTGTGGACGGGAAATCCCACATTCCCGAGGAATTTTGGGGAGGTTGCAGATTTTAATCGGGAAGGGGAGAACTGGAAAAGTGGGGTTTTAATTGCAGGGGCAGAGGCTGAGTCAGAGCCGGCTCTGGCTTGGGAACGCCGAGTTTGGGATGCTGGGATTGTGGGATTTTGGGATTTGGGGATTTTTGGGATCTCAAGGCTCACCTCGTCCCACCCCCGCGGGCAGCTCCCGCTGGCCCCGGCGGCTCCAAGAGCTGCCCAGGCTGGGCTGGGCATTCCAGGGATGGGAATCCATGGAAAAAACCGGGGCCAGGGGAGGATTTATCCCAAATATCCACCTGGATCCCACTTTATTTCTGGGCAAAACCTTCTCCAGGAGCCCCCAGAGGTAACATAGGGGGAAAATGGAAGGGGAAAAAGGATAAAACATTGATGAAAAAAGGGGATAAAATCCCCAGCTGGAAGCGAAGTCCCGGGAAAAGAGGCAGCGCCGGGAATTCCTCCAGACCCTTCCCGCAGTCCCCGCGCCGCCCGTGCCCGGCCCGGCATCGTCCCGGCCCCGCCGCCGCCCTCGGCCCCCGGGGTTTGTTTGTCCCGGGTTTTTTCCGGGAATGAGCCTCGGGAAGCTGCGGCTGATGCAGGAAACAACTTTATTGATGGCAGGGAAAGCAGAGCCGGGCAGGGACAGGGACAGGACAGGGATGGCCGGGAATGGCCCGGGGGATGCCGAACCCTGAAATCACCCGAGGGGACCCCAAAGCAGGAATCCCCCATGGGATCCTAAAGCCCAGAATCACCCGGGGCACCCCAAAGCCCCGATCCCATCACCCGGGGCACCCCACAGCCCCGATCCCCCAAAACCCATCACCCAGGGCACCCCACAGCCGCGGTCCCCCCAAAACCCATCCCCCAGGGCACCCCACAGCCGCGGTCCCCCGGGACCCCCGGTCCCGCGGCGCTGCCGGGCTGGCTCAGGGCAGGGTCACGGATTTGGCGTCGCCGCCGGGGAAGCGAATCTCGTGCGCCAGGCACGGCCCGTTGGGCTCCTTGCCGAAATCCACCAGGAAGTTCTTGTTCACGGCCAGGCCGCCCTTGTCCGTGTCCACGTCGAGCTGCAGCATCACCGAGCCCTCCCTGCGCGGGGACAGCGGCGGCTCGTGGCGACAGCGACCCCCGGGGCCGCCCGGACCCGCCCGGAGCTGCTCCGGCAGCGCCGGGGAGCGCCCGGCCCCGGGGCCAGCGGGACGGGCTCGGATGGGGGGGCTTGGGGTGCCCAGTCCCCATGGAGGGGGCAGGATGGGCTGGGGACATCTTTGGGTCCCCAGTTCCCTCAGGACG